AAGTTGGAAGAGAGAGGTGTTCAGGGGATGGGGATTCCAGGGGGAAGGGGACAAAAAGGAGATGGGTATGATTAAGATACACCTGAAAATTTTTCAAAGAATAGAAAATAAGGGGAACAAAAAGAAATGAGCATTGATTGGTTCTAGAATAGAAGTGTCGTGACAGGGTTCACTCCCTTAATTCTCCACTTTATCCTCAAAACTTGGCGCACAGCAAACATTTGCTGAGTTGATTAAAGCAAGTCAGTGGAAATAACTTGAATGTCCAATACTTAGTGGCGTTGGTTAAGTAATCCATGAGGTTAAATAATATGTAACTATTAAAAAGATTATTTGTGGACCTGGGGGTGTCACTCAGTGATAGAAGTACCTGCTTGGCATGTTGTAGACCCTGGGGTACGAGCCCCAGCACTGAAAGAGATTTGTTTGTAAAGTTAATAAGAGAAATATCTGATACATTAATTTCTTGGAAAAAATAATTATATCCATGAAGGAAATAGACAAGCTGTATGATTTTTGCTTTGTTGTTCTGTTTTCTAATATCAAATTACTTTTATTACTAGATTGTTTTAGCTATTTTTCCCCTGGCGGAAATATCCAACCCACCTACCTAACTATCCTGAACTGAATGTATCAATTAATAAACATTAACTGGGACTGGAGAGTTGGTTTGGCAGTTAAGAGCACTGGCTGCTCCTGTATAGGACCCAGGTTCCTTTCCCAACATTCCCAGCACCCACATGATGACTAACAACCATTTGTAACTCCAGTTCCAGAGGATCTGACGCCCTCTTCTGACCTCCATGGGCACTGCACAACGTGGGTGCACTTACATACATGCAGGCAATAATACACTCATATGCATAAAATAAAAATAAATTTTTAAAATTTTTTATTGAGCATATTTCATACAACAGTTCTTAATTAAATTTAGGCCCCCTCCCCCACCAAACCTCATGTATTCTGCCATACATGTTAAGTCCTATCCAATCTAGCATTTGTACCCAGATGTTCTTGGGTGCAAATTCATCCACTGGAGTCTAGTCAGCCTCTCTAGAAATTATAAGTAATCAGTCTTCAATAGTTCCCAGACTAGGGCTGGCCCACCACCCATTTCCCTAGCTCCACTCTGGGCCCTTGTCTGATTGAGTTGGCATGGGTCCTGTTCTTGAAGCCACCATTGCCACAAGTTCACATGTGCAAGTTTCCAGTGTCCTGAAGGCTTCTGCTCCCCTGTGTTCATAAACCAACCCTGGCTCTTAACAATTTTTCTGCCACCACCCTCTTCCTCAATGGTGCCCAAATCATAGGTGGGAAAGGTTTAATATAGGAGTCCTATCCAGGGACATATACTCTGCAGTCCAAAGTATTATAAATAAAACATTTTTTAAAAACTAAATAGCCAGGTGTGGCAGCACCAGCCTTTAATCCCAGCCCTTGGGAGGCAGAGGCAGGTGGATTTCTGTGAGTTCCAGGCCAGCTGGGGTTACAGGGAGACCCTGTCTCAAAAAGACCAAAAAAAAAGACTAAATAAATAAGTAAATAAATGCTAACTTGTCATATGTAATCCCAGCACTCATGAGCTGGAGGCAGGAACATCTCAATGTGAGCCTGGGCTACATAAGCAAGATTCCGTCATGAGTAAATACAGGGAGCTCAAGTTCTGAACACCTGATGCCTAAATTTGAATACTAGCTCCATAATTTAGTATCTTGTGCCTAGGGCAAGCAACATACTTAGCTTCTCTCTGATTTAATTTACTCATCTGTAAAATAGCGTTGGTGTGAAGATTTAAGCGAATCCTCTGTAACACTAGGAAGCTATGCATATATTAGCTTTCATCATTATCGTTATCACTAGCGGACTGAAAACACAGCAGGACCTCTAATGAGAAGAGAACCTATTTGGAGGGAGGGGCACACAGAAACATGTAATCAAAGCAGAATGACTAGCTAAAGCCAAGACAACGTTTAGAAGAAGAAATTATAAACCTGGAGAGCGAATTCAGGAAGTTATAACAACAATATTCGAACCGAGTTCAGAGAACGAGCAGGATTTCAGTAAGCGGCTAATCGAGCCCGCAAAAGACCTTAGCAAAGGCACAAACAGTAAAAGCGTGCAGCTTGTTCAGCAAGACAATAGCAATGCAGACGAGAGACGGCACGCACAGCCCTTGGACGAACACTGCTGGATGAAGACCATGCCCATTTAGCAGAATACCACAATAGCAATTGAAGTGGGAACAGTAACAACACATGGCGAGGTCAGCGGGAACTACAGAACAACGATGTGGTTAGGAAAACCAGGACACCCACTACCCTAGTACCCCACTGTCCTATGGGCTAGGTGTCCACCGCAGGTCAGTCGCGATCCGAGCCGCTGGACGGCTGAACAGCGCCGCCCAGAGGCGGCTCGCGATCGCGCACGTGCTCAGAGCCGCGGCGCATGAACTACAACTCCCAGAAGCCCGGGCGCGCCGCTCTCTGTATTTCCGCGATCCGGTCTCACGTACCCAGCTTCAACCCGACCTATCGCGAGGAGACCTGGCGCATGACCCCACGTGAGTGAGACTCGCTAGACGAGAGTCCCGGGAAGCGGGGCTCGGACCCCATTGGTAGAAAGGCTCATCTTGACAGTCTCGATAGTGATTGGAGTTGGTGGATATGGAGGCGTGGCTAAACCCTGGGCTACTGGCCAATCAGTGCTCAGGATTGTGGAGCCGGGTAAGGGAACCCGGGAGCAGAGGTTCTGCGGTCACAGGCCTCGGGGTCTAGTGGGAGGAGCAGGTGCCGGGAGTCTTCGGCGCTTCCTGTTTCCGGTGTCTGGAGAGGGGCGCAGCGCAGCGCCTGGGGGGACACTGGCCGCTGCCGGGCGCTGTGGGGCCGGTGTCTGCCCACCGCTCGCTGGCCCCTCGCTGGCCGCGTCTCCCGACCTCGGGAACATATCCACCCTGGGCTTCTGAGCTTTGCCGGTGACACGTGAGTGTGAGGGGCGTGGAGTGGAGGCGGGCAGGGGTGCGCGCACCCGCGGGCTCCGGATAGCAGCTGGGATCGTCGCGTCTCCGCGGGCCCTGGTTCTAGTCAGAGGTTGAGCTAGGGAGCCCTCCGGCGGAATGGAGACGGAGGCGGGAGGGCGCCGGGTGTCAGATGGGGAGAGGACTTCAGGGTCGCAGGCGTCTTAAGAAAGTGCCCGGGTAGGGAGACCTGTTTGAAGTGCCCCTGGATGCCGGTGGGAAGAATCTTGACCTGTGTTGTGGAAGGAAGTCAAGCGCATCTTTTGGAGTAAAGCATGGCTTTGAGCAGTTGGAAAGCGAGAATTTCCAGAACCCTGGAAGAAGTTCAAGTGGTGTTAGTTGGGTGTGGGGAAGAGCAACAGAGGGATCAACACCCTGTTTCTTGAGGCGAGGTTGAAGGATAGAGTTGGCTGTGGGGCTTTTTCAACAACATTGGACGTCTCAGCTGAACGTGTCAGCCGATTGAGGTTGGTCTAAGAGTGTAGGCTGCTGGAGAGAAAAGATAAGGAATTGGCCACGCCAATAAAAGACATTGTTTCAGCGTTGATCTGCCTTAGGAAAAGAAAAGTGAAGATTCTTCGAGATCATAAAGTTCTGTTTTACAGTATCTAGATAAATGCATTCTGAGAAGCTGATTTTGCCATATTTTAAAAGGACTACCCAGCTTGAATTTCATACTTTTTCTAGTTGTTGTGCCCCTGTTTTTATCAGTTCTCCAACAAATTCTTTTATGTCATTAATCATCCAAGTTGCCCCAGTAACTTCTTCCATTTATATAACGTGTGACGAATGACTTAACAGGCGACTTTGTAAGCGTCAGTCTCCTCACTTTAAAAAAATTTTTTTTTAAAATTTTTATGTGTATGAGTGTGTTGCCAGCTTGCATGTAAGTACATTGGAGTCATGCAAAGCCCTGGGAGGTCAGAAGAGGGTGTCCAATCCCCTGGAACTGGAGTTAGGACAGTTGCTGGCTGCCATGTGGGTGCTGGACTGTCTCTCCAACCCCCAGTTTCCTTATTTTTAAAATGCAAAGAATTATACCTACTTTTCTAGGATATGAAATTAACAAACATAATCTAGATAAAGCATTTAGATCATACAACATACTGGATAAACCAAAGAGAAACCACTTATAGCCAAACCTTAAATTTGTTAAAAAAAAAATTACAGGAGTGTAAATTTGTTCCAACTTTTTGAACAAATAATCAGATGACAAGTAATACAGCTCATTTAATACCTACTGCAGCTTGATTTCATTCTTCAACCCTTCCCAACTTTGTAAGGTTCTTCATCCTAATTTGGGAAGTGAATCAGTAACAGTTAACAAATGAGGAACTTAACACCCAGGCCAAAGTATACAGCATTGGATCTGTGTGAGCATCTCTCCAGAAAATGCTCCTGGGAAGAAAGATCTTCAGAGCCCAGAATGTTAACATTTTTAATTAGATCCCGAAAGAACTGAAGGAAAATGGCATAGTAAACCAATCTTAACAAAAGGAGTTCTTAGTGAATTGGCTGGTCATGTTGAGCAGAAAAAAGTCAAAGGTTTTAGATCTGAATTCTTTATTACACTTCAGTCAACTCTGAGAAGTTACTTCCCCTTCCTACTTGGATTTTAAAAGAAGGAAGAGGGGCTGGAGAGATGGCTCAGCAATTAAGAGCACCCACATGGCAGCTAATAATTTGTGGGGTCTCTCCCTCCCCTTGTGGGTCATTGGCCACTGATCCACGAGAACAAAGGGAGCAGAAGCGACGAATGGGGTCGGGGTCAGGACGGCCAGTGAGCACTGACCGAAAAAAGCCCTTCTGGGGAGGCAGATTCAGTGATACAGCTCCAGATTTAGTGATAAGCTCCAGACTCAATGAAACAGCTCCGTTTATTCAGTGGGGGTTAGTGAAAATATAGTGTGGAGGCAGCAGCCAATGCTTCAGCTGATAGGTGCTCATAGTATGCTTTATTTACATGTGGTGGGGGGTCCCTATCATCTGGCTATAGGGCAATGCCTAATTAGCATATAGAAAAAACCTGGGGGCAGTTTTATTGCCAGTAACTGTTCCAAAGGTCATGTTCTGAATAAGGTCAGGCATCCGTGCTTGGAGGCACTTTCCAGGTAAGTCAGGCAGGAAGCCCCTGCTGAGAAAGTAGCCGACCTTAATAGCAGGGTTTCCCGACATCTCCCCTGTTTTGTTTTATAAATGGAGAAGTGTCATTACAAGCCTTAAGAGCCAACTCATCTATCTCAGGAGAATCCAGAGTTTGACTACCATGACCTGATTGGTAGTAATTTTAGCAATGGTAGTAATTTTTAAGAAATTGTATGAAACAGGGAGCAAGCACCAAAATAAGATAATCAGGGGGCTATTGATATTGTAACATTCCCCCTCTGAAGAGGTGACCCCAAAATCTTTTCGGGATACGAGCTCACAAAAATTTTTAATGTTTTTGGCCTTTGGGACAGAGTATTTTGCTAAAAGGCCTAAGGACATTTTGACTTTTAGCCAAGAAAGAAACTGGCTACTTTTCTTTGGGGTCTTTTTACCCTAGCTGCCTAGCCAATTTCTATCTCCTATTTTTATCATACCACCCTCTAAAGAAGCTTACCCAAATTGCCAATAGGAAATTGGGATGCAGACTGCTCTGGCTTCTTCCACGTTGAACAGGGTGAAGGGTACCCCCTTCAGTGGGTCTATCTAAAAGACTCCCAAATTACATAACTTAACTATAGGGAGAAAAGAAAGGCGTTTGACTGGTGCCTGGGAGATGTGAAGGAAAAGTAAAGGTAAGAGTAAGGGCAAGAGTAGTTAGTATTACAATTTCTAGGCAGGGAACCAGAAAATATGTACAATTAAAGTCCATTGGAATATTTTGATGAGGACTCCCAAAAGCATCCATCTAACAGGTTTCTCCTCATTTTTCTTATGTCTGTTAAGGCTGGAATGATGATTGATGAACTCAGGATTTGTTGTCAGGCACTTTGCTAACTGTTGGAGTGGCTAGACAGCTCCCTCTTAAATGGCCTCTAGATAGGGAGAGAAAACAAATTTAGCCATTATTTTAGAATAGTGAGTTGTTTCCCTCAGGTGCAGGTGGCACTACAGTATTGTAGACCAAGATTTAAAGTCCTACATCTGAAGAGGTATATTGATGACTTTAATCTTTGGTTATACTTTCCCCTTGGGTGTTTAAGGCCATACAGTTGGCTCAAATAAACTAATATGTTATTACTTTTAAGGTCATATGAGGATCTGTTTCTCAGGGGTCACATGGGCTTGTGGGGAGCCCCGGCTCCTCGGGCTTTTCTTTACCAGTTCCATCTATGTGAAGATAAGCCAAGAGGTCTTGTTTGACCTGGGCTTTGCTTGGAAGAATGGAGGAAATGTTTCCTCTGTGTTGACCCTCCTCTTTGCAGACTAGACACTGGTTCAAGTCCATCTTCTGGGGTCTCCATGGCCTCCCTGAACAAGAGGACAGATGACTCACCAAAGTTACAGGACATTTTGAGAGAGATGCTCCATAGCCCCTGGAACTTGTTTGACCTTGGAGGGCAAGGAACAAAAAAATTGTCCCTTTAAGTCCCTCTGACCAGATTAATATAGACCTTAGAGTCTGCCTATTAAACATCCAACAAAGTTAGTTACACCAGTCTGGTACTTTTAATTACCACGTGCTAGATAGAGCTTGGGCAAAACCCAAATATTTTTAAGTAAACCTTGATGAGACATCTTTAAACTAGTTGACTAAGCTATGACCTTAGAAATTTTAAGATCTTTTTTTAATTTTTTTTTTCATGCTCGATAAATCGTAAGAAACCTATATAGACCTCCATCACTTGCTTAGGCTTTTTTTAACAAAATACCTCCATTCCTTTATCCTTCTAACATCTTTTATCTTACCATTCTCTTTCTTAATAACCATGAGACATAATAATATTAACAGACTTTCCATCTGTTGTGAGAATTCTTTTTGGGGGATATTAAGCAATGTTTTTCCCCTTTTTAGGTTCTAGAATCAAACCAATGTTTGATTACATTAAAGTTTTTCTGGGGAATCAATAAATTTATTGAGCTTAGTTACAGAGATGACTGAGGGGTTGCTGGGGTATATGAGTGACCTGAGAGTATTTACACTGGAAAGCCTTAACCCAGCATGGATCAAGCCTTTTTTTCCTAGCCTTCCCCAGATAATGTATTTTAGTCCTCCCCAAACCCAGGAGACCATATGTGATTAGAGCCAAATTACATACAGTTGGCTGGGAAGAGCAGTTGGATACTCAGGTGAGGGTCTAATGACCCTGTTTACCCCTCCTCCTTTAAATAAAGAATAACAGTACTCAAGTCAACAAATCCAGTTGTGATGATCTTTTGCTAGTGGACACAGCTGAAGTCATGAAGATGGTAGTTGTTTGACTCAGAAGAAAGTAGGATTATGCTGAAGTCATTTAGAATATGGAATCTAAAAAATACATATATATAAGATAATGTAATAAATTAATATTACCCATGTACATACTATGTTTCCAGGTAAACCTTATAGAAAACACAAGACAGTTAAAAATCTTTTACCCTTATGTAGTTTAGAGAGGGGTCTATGAAAACCTTGCTTTAGGTGGAACAATATTTTATCTCACATATGTAGAGATGAACATTTATCTTAAATGTATCATATAAACTTTGAGGTGTCCTTGTAAGCCTTGAAGCAGGTTTTAAACAACCAAGTCTCCTTTAAAGGTTTAGAGATGTTTTATACAGACTTGGAAAATGTTTATTCTGTATAAAACATATCTAAACATAAATTGTATCCTGGAGCAGAAGCAATCATTCCTTAAAAGTTAATTTATATTTTTAATAGGAACCTGGTTGTTAATTTAACAATTTTAGTTTACAAGAGAACCTACAAGTCAATTTGATATCTAGTAAATTATTAATAATTGCTTTATTAGTATTAAACATAAATCTATACATTCATAACAGTCTCATTTAATAAATACTGTTGTCAGACACAATGTCACAACAAAGCAGTTTTAAAACCAAGACCTTGACGAATTTTTTGATCAGATGTATATGAAAGAAACTCTTAAAAGCCAGCAGTACTTTACATATATATTCATATACATACATATATATACATATACATGTAGATATGTATATTTGAGAATCTCATCTCAAAGTGGCTGTGGTGGACAAAGCCATACACATTGATGAGGTGGAAAGAAGCAACTGGTACATATTTAAGCATTATCAAATTGATATTTACAGCTTTTAGCATAATCAATTAAGGAAAACTGATGTTTTAGTTACTGACTGAGGAATTTTAGGCAGAAGATCTCTCTTTTTTTAAAAATCTATCCTGTTGTTTATTAAGTAGTTACATTTATCTTTGTATTTACCATACATTTTACATTAGTCTGTGTTAGTGACCAAATAGAGAATCCCATTAACTACTTTTACTATAGACAGTAATACCCTCTGTTGAAATTAGTTTACACCTTAGCTGTTTTTACAGTGTATTTACTCTTAGGCTGTTTTGTTGCTCACCTTTAATTGTCACAGAGTCAGGGGGCCAGCCTGAGCCTGAGGTTTTAGAGAACATATCTTGATATAGTAGGCTTGAATCTGAAGTGGGAGGGCCAATCCCGTCTCCAGAGTCAGCATTTCAGTGAGCTCAAACAGCACGTGACAGTTTACCAATATAATTAATACAGAAAGGCATTTGTTTTTCTTTAGCCTAAAAGTTTTTAAAATTGTTTATCCATATATTTTTAAACTAAGGCAAGACTTTTAACTCACATGGTGAATTCCTTTGAAGAGGGCTGTCAGTCTGGATTGGAAAAAACGTAACTGTGTGCTGGTAATAGCTTGCCTCCTGTGGGCTGCAGTAACCACTGCTGTGGTGTGCCCCCTGGAGCGGAGAGAAAAGGCTATGACTAGGCTGCACATGCATGCCCTCAGTGTGAGCCAGCCGCCATCTGGGTGCGCACGGCATGAAGTCATGTCCCCCCAAGGGGAAGCCTGCGGGGGCACGGAGGACTACAGGAGAAAGCCTGCACGTGGGGTGGTCCTCTCTGACGAGCCCCTTCCCCAAGAAAAAGTTTACAGAAAAAAAAATGGCTTTTAAAATCTTTTTCTCGTTTGTCTATGGCGCAAGCGCCTTAAATTCTCAAAGTGCTCTGTGGCCACCCCCCCACCCCGCTTTAAATCTTTTGTTTTTGTTTACATTATGGGGCACTTGGAGCCGGAGTCCCTTTTTGTCCCAAGGCAAGTTAATTTAAATTCTCACCTAACTGGTTTAGCTTGAGCTTGAGTGCCCAGGGGCGAGATAACAGAACAGATTAAGGAAGTTTGTTATTTTAGAAGTTGAATTCAAAGCTTTTGTAAAAATCCCTTAGAACTTTGGGGATTTTATATTTTTAGGGGTGTTGTTCAAGATAAAAAAGGAAAGGGGGGTGAAACGCTGGTTCTTAGGGGAACATGCCCGGGATCAAAAACCTCAGGGGATTCCACCTAGTCCACAGTGCAAGCCTGCCCACAAATAAGAGATCTGGTGACCGGCTCTAAGAGCAATTAACTGGTCGTTGCGTTACCAGGTTTTTGCATTAGAAAGATGTATAAATAGGGGGTCTTGTCTACACCCGTGCGGGCAGTCAGGGTCCGCCAAGAGGGCTAAGAGCCTTTGGCTAACATCAAGGGGTAGCCCTGATCAGAAAGCCTCAGTTTCTCCTTCGTCTTTAATGGTCCCACACAAAGACTCAGACCAAAAATAAAGGAGGAAAAAGAGGAGAGACTGCCGGTCCTCAGGGTGGGATGGCTAAGGCAAAGCTGCCGCTACCCTCTTGAAGAGAGGGGTATTCACAAACTCTGCGTGTTCCAGGAGCCCCACGTTGGGCGCCAGCTGTGGGGTATCTCCCCTTGTGGGTTGGCCACCGATCCACGAGGACAAAGGGAGCAGAAGCGACGAATGGGGTCAGGACGGCCAGTGAGCATGACGGAAGAAAGCCCTTCTGGGGAGGCAGATTCAGTGATACAGCTCCAGATTTAGTGATAAGCTCCAGACTCAGTGAAACAGCTCTGTTTATTCAGTGGGGGTTAGGGAAAATATAGTGTGGAGGCAGCAGCCAAAGCTTCAGCTGATAGGTGCTCATAGTATGCTTTATTTAATTGTGGTAGGGGCATCCTATCATCTGGCTATAGGCCAATGCCTAATTATCATATAGAAAAAAACCTGGAGGCAGTTTTATCACAGGTAACTATTCCAAAGTTCATGTTCTGAATAAGGTCAGGCATCCGTGCTTGGAGGCACTTTCCAGGTAAGTCAGGCAGGAAGCCCCTGCTGAGAAAGTAGCCGACCTTAACAGCAGGGTTCCCCAACAATAACTGTCCCGGTAACTCCAGGTCCAGGGGATCCAGCACCCAACAATGACCTCCACAGGAATTGCAGGACACAGGTGCACTTACATGCATGCAGGCAATACATGCATACACATAAAACAAAAATAATAAGACTTTTTTTTTTTTAATGCAACAAGGCAGCACAGTTTTGGCTATTTACTGTCTTCCCCAGAAAATTATGATGAAAGAAGATGCATGTAATGATGACTCATAGGCCTTGAGCTCTGGGGCCAGTCTATCTTGCTTACTCCATTAGCTGTGTCTACTAGTTTGTGCTTGGTTGGTTGTTTTTTAATCTGTAAAATGGGGATAACAATTGAATTTACTACCTAGGGTTGTTGGGAGGATTAATTAGGTAATATATATTAAGTGCTTCAAATAGTGCCTGGCTGCAGGCTGTCACTCTATTCTATGTTCCCTCTTGTGGTTTGGTACTTTAAATGTGCTATGAGAGACTTTGACCTCCTGGCTAGTTAGGATTCTGTAGAAATATTTGGTTAGCATTACTTTAGTGAATTGGTGTTTGGGGTACATGAAATTGCATAGATAACTTCCCAGGCATTTGTTGCCCTCCTAGAGTTTGGGAAATGGAAACTCAAATGTAAGTTTACAGAAGAAACGAAAGTACATTCAGAGCACTGGGTCTGAGCTTATGTTTTCCTGTCTTAAATATTGCCTCTGGAAAATTAGTGATACTGTTACGAAATTAACAAGTAGCAATGGCCTGGATGAGTGTTAATAGATAAGCAGAGTACAGTCTCCTGCAGCATACATCACTATGGCCTGAGTATGAAGATGGAGCAGGAGTGTTAAACTTTTTGACGTTGCATTGTGACATTGTCATCTACAAACATGTTAGGCCATGTTCATAGATGTCCTGTATGTGTCCCATGAGCTGCAGGTTGGATATACCTGGGAGAGTAATGCGAACAGTAAATGAACTCGGCCTTATAGTGTAAAGTGTAGAAAGACACTGTACTTACTGAACATCTAGAAGCCCTTAAGATTTGTGACTTGTAGAGGCTGAGGTAGGCTTTGGAAGACTTCAACTCACTCATTTTGACCCAGAGAATTTTCTCCTTCCTATAGTTTAAAATTGGTTTTTTTCAGAGAAGAGATGAGTAAATAAATGTGAAGTTTTAGGCATTTTGGCTGCATTTACCTTTGCTCCATATTCTCATAGTGAATCTGAGGAAAGGTTGTTAGATGCTCCTGAATCCTGATATGCTAGAGCTCAAGTTCCTCTGCTTTACATCGTTCTTAGTAACTTCAAGCTAGACATATTCAAAGTCTGTTTAAGTCATGATTTGAGTGGTTTAGGGAAGTCCATGGGCTTAAACTTTATTTCTAAACTAGTATTTAACTTTTTAAATAATTAGATAGCTCAATGTAAATTTTCATCAGACAGTAAAGAGGCAGAGATGTGGCACTGGACCATCATAATTAACTATTTTCTTGCTCCCATAGTTTGTTTTGAAGGACTCACCTACAGACGCAAAGCTATATTATATGGGTTTCTTACTATAGTTGAAAAATGTGCTGTTTGTTACATATGGCAGAGAATCCTGCTTTCCGCACAGTCAGAATGCCATCCATTTTTGCACTCGTGTGATTTATGTTTTCCTTCTCTCCTCATCTCACCTTTCCCCTCCACAATACACACTCTTCCAAAAGGATGTTCCCCTCCCCCAGCTGCTGGAGGACTGGGTTGTTCCTGTTGCTGCTCCTGGCTGTAGCAGTGAGAGAATCCTGGCAGACAGAAGAAAAAACCTGTGACCTGGTAGGAGAAAAGGAAATGGAGTCCAAGAAAGAGGTGGCTCTGCTACAGAGATTAGAACCACTGTTCAACAAAAGGTAAATGAGGGGAGCCCTGTGGGGCTTAAGAAACTATCTTTATGTAGAGTCTTTGCTTTTTACTGAGTTTATTTCCGCTTTAATAGGGAGAGAACGTACAAGTAATATGGATTCTAATCTGAACTTCAGCAGTATTTGTTTTACTTGGCCATGATACAGAGCACATTTACAGCCATATTGCCATGTGCATTGTTCTTTTCACAGAAAAGTTTCTAAAGCTGGATCCAACACACCAGCTTGTAGGAATTCAAACTTTATTTGATACCTTCATATAATAGGACTTCAGAAATACTAGGTGGATGTATTTAGGCATATAGATGTCTAAATATGTCTTTATCAGTGTCAGGAATCTTTTTTTAAATAATTTATTGAGAATTTCATACATACATATAAGGTGTTTTGATCAAATCCATGCCTACTCCCTCCCCTCCAACTCCTCCCATATCTCCCCATCACTTTTTCTGATAACTTCATGTAGGTGTCAGGAATCTTTAGAAACATCAATTTGAAGGTGATCCTTCAGAAACATGGGAGTGTCCCATGAACGCAGACCGTTGCTCTGGGGAAATGGTAGCTGACACTTGAGCATAGCTTGGAGTAGGAATTCTAGAATGTACAGGTTTCTCAGTTGGTGTATTTTAATCATCAACAATTAGGATGGGCTGGCGGGGTTATAAGTCACTCATAATTTATCTATTATGCACTAGTCCATTTTATTGTCATCAAAGGGAGGGAGTGGAGTCTGGTTTTCCTGAAGCTGATAACTAGTAATTCTTTTATTTTCTTTTATAGTTTTGAGAGTACCGTGGGCCAGGGCTCAGAGACATATATCTACATATTCAGAGTATGCCGGGAAGCTGGCAACCACACCTCTGGGGCAGGCCTGGTGCAAATCAACAAAAGTAATGGGAAGGAGACTGTGGTAGGGAGACTCAATGAGACTCATATCTTCAATGGAAGTAAGATTTTCTTGTTAACTAATTAACCCCAAGTCAGTCCTTCAAAATTCCTGTATGTGTTGGCCCTCCCCTTCCAGTATGTTGTGTTAGGTGAGATCGGCCCACCAGACACTAAACCACATAGTGCCCAGTTCCTGCTGCGCTGAAGCCAAGCAAGGACACTTGAAAATTAAAGACAGTACAAAACCTTTGCAAAAAGAATGTAGTATTGGGGAGACAGCTGAGATAGAATGCTTGCCTAGCATGTTGGAGGGTCTGGCTTTAGTCCCAAGTGTCAATGAAACGGGGAGTGGCAGGGAAGAAAGAGGGGTCTGAATGAAAATTTAGCCAGAATTTGATGTAGCCTGGAGTCCTTTCATTCACCTAACTACTTAATGAGTTGCAGCCACCACCATTTCTCATCAGATTAGCCAAATTTGCCTATTGAATTTTAAGACACCTTTGTACAAATCAGTAAGTCTATTTCAGAAATTCTCTACCTACTGGTACTAACATGGAGATGTTTCTCAAATGTCATAAAAGTACCCTGGAAAGAGCTGTGTCAGCACTTGCAATCTATCTGAATTCTTCCCGTGAGCAGATGAATTATCCAGTGTAGACATTCACTACTATAAATAATAAAATAGAACATAGATGAGTGCATTCTTGACCCAGCTCATTATTTTCCTAGTCTGATGATTTTGAGACACCAACTCACCTTTTTAAAAAAATCCTTTTCTCAGATGCAAAATTGAAAAACCTATCTCCATGATTGTTAAGTCAAACATTATTTTGTAAAGGCCAAGCCTGGTCTTTCATCCCAGTACCCAGGCGGCAGAGGCAGGGGGATCTCTTGAGTTTGAGGTCAATCTGGTCTATGTAGACAGTTCCCTGGCCAGCCAGGGCTATATAGTGAGACCCTGTCTTAGAAACAAAGAAATTTAGCCATAGTAAATACTGAAGAAATGGATTTCCATCTCAAAAAATCATCCACTTTGAATGTGTCTGTGGCTAATTTTAAATCTTAGGCTTCTCCTTGCTGCCTATGGAACCTCTCTTTTTGCTGTATGTGTTCAGGAAGTGTTAAAGTATGGATCATCATTTTTTTTTTTTAATTTTTATTTAATTTTTTTAAATTTTTTTGTGTGTATGCATGTATTGCCTGCATGTAGGTAAGTGCACCCGTGTCGTGCAGTGCCCTCGGAGAACAGAAGAGGCTGTTGGATCTCCTAGGACTGGAATTATGGACAGTTGTTAGCTGCCATGTGGGTCCTGGGATTCAAACCCAGGTCTTCTGCAAGAACAACCAGTGTTCTGAACCGCTGAGCCATCTCTCCAGCCCTGATCATAAGTATTTTTATACCATCAGTTGCCAGCCTTTAATTGTAGAGTGTAATGCCAAGTTTTGTGAAGAAACTAGTTTTAAGGCCATGCCTGTGATCCCAGAATTTGGGAGGCAGAGGCAGGAGAATCACCATACATTTCATTTGAGGCCAGCCAAGGCTACATAGCAAAACTTACCTTAAAAAGTTTAGCTTAGCATTACTGGTAATGTAGGTCATCCCAATAAGCATTAATTCAAAGTGGTTCCACTGATGATTTCCACTCTGCCATAGGACCCAGAGTTTCCTCTGCTTCCCTGCACCATATGCCACTGTCCTTGTCCTTCCTCAGGTAATTGGATCATGCTGATTTATAAAGGGGGTGATGAATATGACAACCACTGTGGCAAAGAACAGCGTCGTGCAGTGGTGATGATCTCCTGCAATCGACACACCCTAGCGGTGAGGCACCCTGGGGTATATGAGAAGATTGAAAGGACTGACCTAAGGGGGAGAATAACCAGAGGGGCAGGGTTCCTACATGAAGTGGACACGAGAAAACTAACTCAGTTCATTTTCAGAGTGGGAGACACCCACCTTCCATGGAAGACTAAGAACAGCAAATGTTTGGGGTTTTTATGTTTATTGGGGGTTGGGGCTTGTTTGTTGGGTACAAGTCAAAGAAAATCATCTTAGTGCATAATTACTATTTGGTTCTCTCATCAGGACAATTTTAACCCAGTGTCTGAGGAGCGAGGCAAAGTCCAAGATTGTTTCTACCTCTTTGAGATGGATAGCAGCCTAGCCTGCTCGCCAGAGGTCTCCCACCTCAGTGTGGGGTCTGTCTTACTTGTTACGTGAGTACTTTCTTATTGTATGTAATCCTTTTTTCCCCCCTTAATCAGCAATTACTTGACGATATGGGCACAAATTGTTGTAGATATGTGTTGTATATACCAAATTACAGATGACTGACCCTAAAATAACTGACCATGCAAGTTTAAAGAAATTATGCTGGGGAATATAATGTAGCTCCAGGGCAGAGTGCTTAGCCAGCATGAGCTCCTAGGGTCAATCTCTGGTAGCACCAAAAAGAATTTTTTTTTTTTTTAAATTAGGTGTTTAGGACTGGAGATGGCTCAGCAGTTAAGAGCACTGGCTTCTCTTGCAGAGGACCAGGGTTTGGTTCCCAGCACCCACAACGGCAGTAAACAATGATCCATAACTCCAGCTCTATGGGACTTGATGCCCTCTGCTGGCCTCCATGGACATTGCATGACACAGTGCACTTTACATCTATGCGTGAAAAACTCATACATAAAAAATACAAATAAGTTTTTTTTAAATTAAAAAATATTTGCATATGAAGATGCTCTTTCAACAAGGCTGGAAAGTTTTTGGTACTATCCTGGTAGATTATTCTAACTTGGAAGATACTGAATCATGGTTAATGCTGATTACTCCTGGCCATTAGACTCATGTACTAGGTCTGAGCATTTGCTTATCGGATTTATAGCATTCTTGTGGGTTTTCTAAGGACAGCCCTTTCTCATTTTCGTTCCTTTTCCGTGGTCATGGAATATAGCTTAGGAGAAATAGCTAGTATTAAAGATGGTCCTCAGCCTTGACTTTGTAAGTAAGCACGATTACATGTGTGTGGCACCGCTCCAGGACTGAGTGTTAAGTATATCTTTCTTTTCTTCCTCTCTAGATTTGCATCTCTAGTTGCTGTCTATATCATTGGAGGTTTCTTATACCAGCGGCTGGTGGTAGGAGCCAAGGGAATGGAGCAGTTCCCTCATTTGGCCTTCTGGCAGGATCTTGGCAACCTGGTAGCAGTAAGTAACAAGGCATGGGCAAGCCTGTAGCCTGCCAACAAGGTTGGGTGTTGAAGCACTACGTAGCCTTTAGGTGGTCTCCCAACCCTACTGAGTTTTCAGGGGGCCTAGCTGGGAGGGTGCATCCTAGTTAGAAGAAACTTTTGTTGAATTTGGTCCAAGTCTTGGACTTCAGGGTGTTCTTTTAATGATCCCTAGAAAAAAAAACAGCTGTCCCAGTCTGACACCATATGCTTTGTCTTACTCTGAAGTCAGGTGATCCAAATTATTTCCTTTGCTTTTTCCCCCTACAGGACGGTTGTGACTTTGTGTGCCGCTCAAAACCCCGAAATGTGCCTGCTGCGTATCGTGGCGTGGGGGATGACCAGCTGGGGGAGGAGTCAGAAGAAAGGGATGATCATTTACTACCAATGTGATTGTGCTTTAAATATCCAGCCACTTCTTCAGTCCCCAAACCAAAGCACCCGCAGCCAGATTTCTCAAGCCATCTCCACTCGTCTCCTCTAGCCCTTCACATTGTTCTTTTGCTTTTGACTTGCATCCTCTAAAACTGCCTTCCCTTTGATCCCTGTTTCCTCTGCAGAAGTACATTTCTAAGGTAGAGGTGATGGGGCCAGTGAAGGCAGAGGCTACTGGACTGTCTATTGTTGACAGAAAGTACAAGTAGGCCAGGTAAAGTGGGCAGAAAGCTCACCAGCCCTATCTTGTCTAAACATTTTCACAAGTTTTTGAGACACTGGATTTCTTAATTAAAAAAAGCAAATATTATTTATACATTTGGTTGCTTTCATGTTGTTACTGTCCCCTAGTCTCCATGAGAATCTGGGTGTAACTTCTTGCTGCTTAACTTCAGTGATCACCTGGCTGTAACCCAAGTATCCATTTGGTCTGAGCCTGGAGATAATTGCTTGCTTCTCCCATGTCTGGAAATAAGGCAGGAAAAACTGTGAAGGATTATAAGGAACCATCACATTGTTTGTAGGTCTCTGGATGACTTTATAGCTGGAATTGGTCCTGGACTGTGGGTTAAGTTCATACATAGTCCAAATGCCTAATCAAGCAGTCCAGGCAATTGGAAAGAAAAGTTGAAGCAGACCTATGTTGTAGAAGTTCCAGAACAGATATGGTCACCTCACGGTGGGATAGCCTTGACTTTCTTCTGTTTATTGCAAAGCTGTTCTTACTCTTCCTCTATCAGTACTTCTAAGCATATGTTGCACTTTTTCACAGGCCTGAAGTTTGGCTTTATATTGTTTTCTCCCAATCTTCTGGAAAGGGAATGGAAGCAGAAGTGGATATGGAGGGCTCTGCAGTCTGCTGCTCTGGGCGGGGAGTGCTGCACCTGTACCTTCTGCTGGCTCAGGGAAGTGTCTTAGCCACGTGTCTATGGAGAAAGGTCTCTGATCCTCTCCGACTTCTGTCTTTTCTGTGTAGGCCATGTGCCCAGAATTCCCAGGCTCAACTCTGTCACAGTGAGCTCCTGGGCCACTAAATAACATGGCACCACTGAACACAAGAGAGATGGAATAGGCAGGGGGCTGTTTGTTACCTTTAGAGAAGAAAAATTATGTCATTTTTTTAACTTTAGGGTGGTAATGGGTTTTTTCTTTCTACACAGAAAAAATGTTACTAAAAAATGGCATCTCGTTTGTTTTTGTTTGCATTCCTCCCCCATGTTTTAAATGAAAGGAAATAATACACTTTTTGTACAAAAACACAATGATTAAAAAAAGTACAAAACATATTTTGTCTTGGTCATTTGTGTTTAAGAAAACAGAGATACTGGAATAAGACAACTGAGACCAATTTCCATCCTTTTACTGAGGAAGAAAAAATATTTAATATTTTGTTGTATAAGGAATAGTGCCTAAGGCAGGTACTTACAATCCTGACTTCAGTCCCACACACTCCTGTTATAAAGCTATAGGACAGAGCAGAGTTGGAATGGAAAAGAAAGGCAGGGTTCAAGGTTAACAAATTGGAAGGGACGGGGATGCAGAAAGAACGACAACAGCCGCACGTGCCAGTCAAACACTTTCAGTCCCTGCAGCAAATGAGATACCAACCAAGTGTCTACACGTGTCTACACTGGCTGGGGCGCCTGCCATGGATGCAGGAAGAAATAATACTAAGGGAGTAAGTGATAACAAAGAGAAAACTCTGAGCCACAGCCACAGTGAGACAATCCAGAGGGGAGAAGGGGAGTAGATTTTGCTACTTGTTGCACACAAGCTAGGAAACCCTACCTCCCCACTGGGGAGGCAAACCTACATTCCACCCATTTCCTTGCCTTACCATACATTTCTCCTCTCGGAGACTGAGACCCTGTCCTAGATGCTCCACTCCAGGATAAGACAGCAGCCCTGGTTCTCCAGACTGCCCGTTTCAAGATTGAATTAGGGTAGGTGGGAATGATGCGAGTCATTAAGTTGTTTTTCTAAAGTGAAACCCAGAGAAAACGGCAAAGCTGCCACCATGTAGCACCAGCAACAATCCTTGCACTTCTCTTCCCTGTCTATAATCTCCCTCAGGTCACATGACAGGAAGAACTCTTTCTTCCCTGCCAAGTTTGCCAGTTCCAGGTTATAACCTGAACAGTTGGGAGTGTCTGCCTTAGGCTGATCTGTGCAAGAGGGCCAACTTAGGTCTCCTTGAGGACATTTATCTTGGCGCAGATCTTGAGGGCAGGACCCAATTTGATGTTCATGGCACTCATAAGATGTTCTTCTTTAAGTAATAAAAGGGCCTGTCCATCAATTTCCTGGGAACGAAACTCCTCTGCAATCTCTTGGCACCCTAAAAGAAAAATGTAAGAACACAGTTGAGACATTTTCATGGTAGCATCAGAAGACAAGGGAGGAAATTAAATAGGCCTAGCAATAGTTAATCCCAAATCACTATCCTAAATTCAGTAATATAAGCTGGGTGTGGTGGCACAAGCCTTTAGTCCCAGCACTTGGGAGGCAGAGGCAGGCGGATCTGAATTCAAGGCCAGCCTGATCTACATAGTCTCAGGCCAGCTGTGGCAACAGGGAGACCCTGTTGGTCAAAAAGACCAAAAAACAAAAAAATACCAAAAAACCTAAATTCAGTAATATAGAGGTCAGAGACAGCAAGCTTTGAAAGCAAAATGAAATTAGAGCCACTAGCACACATATGACCAAGACAGGAAGAACCTACGTGGTTTATCATGGAAGCACCTCATTACTCCGAAAAATACGCTCTCGACTTCTTTTACACTAGCGAAAGATTAAGAGCTTTTGCAACATTTTCATTGAAGGGCCCAGAATTCTGGCAAATACCAAGGAACAGTGATGTTCTTTTACAGAGGGCAGTCCTGCCTCCCTTGAAGAAAGTGAGTCAAAGGTCCTTTTCTAACCTACTCCACTGAAAAAGTCATGTATGATCAGTTAATCACATGTAACAAATAGAGATTTTTATTTAAAAAATTCCAACTGTGAAACACATCTAATACAAATAAAAACAAATACTGCAAACTCGCAGACACTGTAATGGTGTTGAGAAGCCACACTGTACGAAGGCAGCTTGCGTGACTATCAAGGAGCCTCTGTACGACCAGACTCAAGCCCCAGCTGCTTGCAAGTCAGTCAGGTTCCCTCATGTGGGGTGACCTAAGGAAAATGAAGACTTGGGTTCTACTGAAAAAGGGGTCCCGGTACCTTGAAGAGAAGCGATAAACTCATAGACTTCCTCTACGCTCCATCGGCTAGGATTACTGGACAGAAACACAGGGTTGATGCCATGTAATTCTGGTGTAGGTGGAGCTGTTATGGTATTTCCTAGGTCACGTTCTCCATGGCCAGCTCTGACTGACAGTGGCCCAGGAGATGTTGGAGAGAGTGCTTCATCATAACTGGAATTGTCTGAACCCCGGCTAGAGTCCTCCTGACCCTTTAGAGAAAATAACAAAACAGTAAGGGGAGTAACAGCAGTGTCCTGAGCTCATCCTTCTTCCTCCCAACACCTTAGGTAAAGCACAGATGAAAACCTAGTCTTAACATACATTGGTTTGCAAATGCACAAAGCCTACTCTAAAGCACCTTTCAAGTATGGATTGTATCACTTCTTTGATCGTCCCCTTCTAGTAACAAGTGATACTTTGCTCAAGCACCGGTAAGGATTAATGGATGCATGAACTAGTTGTCAGATGAAAGGAGACAGAACAGACTCATAACACGGAGCAATGTGGTCAGTGTCGAACCAGAGTTCTGGTATCCTGTGCTTTAGCTCAGGAAGGGACTTGCCCTTTAGGGATAAGGCCCGTTTTAAAGGTTAGCTAGCTCTGCCACAGTAGCTCACCCGATGGCGCTTGCCCTGGATCTTGGCACGGGCCATGTCAGAAGAGCTGCGACGGGGCCCACGCCTCCGAACACGAGCATAGTTGGCTTCTTGAAACTCTTTCATTTTTTTCCTCTTCAGGCGAAACTGGTGACTACAGCTCACGTTATACCTACAAGTCACAACATACACAGGATATCAAGGTGCTATGGAGACTACATGCTCCCTACAGTGGTTGGAATGAGAAATGGTTCAGGTATCTGAATGCTCAGCCCCAGCTGCTGGTGCTGTGTGGGGAGGCTCTGGAATCTTTAGGTGGAAACAGGCAGCGGGTGGGCTTTCAGAGTATATGGCCTCACTCCGCTTCCAGGCTCTCTCTGCTTCCTGAATGTGAATGGAAATGTGAGCCACCAGCTTCCTGCTCAGGCCACCTTCTGCCAGACCTCCCCCACGATTATCCTTCACGCTGTTTCACCACAGCAACAAAAAATACCTAACACGTGTCCTTCTATAAATATGAATTGGTACTTTAAGAGTTGAGTTGGGGAAAGGAATGAAAAAGGGACACACAAAGCATCATCAGCTAGAGAAGGGACATCACATCCAATGGGAAATCCCATGTTGAGCCGTCCAGCTGGAGCCCACAGTACCTCTTTGCACACGTCATGGAGCAGAATCTCTTTGAACCACGAAACTGCTCCGCCGGCGCGTACTTCCCACAGTATTCACACTTCAGGAGATTTGCCTTCTTGTCTAACTCTGAAAAACAAGGCATTATTGGAGCTACCATGGGTTACTGCTTCCCTTCATCTAGTTTTAGGCAAGTTAGAGAGACCTGGCTAGGCTACATAGTAAGACCCTGTGAGAGAAAGAAAGAGACAGACAGACAAAGACAGACTATGAAGTCTTTAAAGTCTTCTTAACCTTAAGTCAGACTATTTCCACATTAGCTACCTTACTAATTATATCCTAATTCAACTCAGATTTCAGATATGATTCAGTTTCTGAATAGGGAAGAGGACTTAATTACTAAAGCATAGAAAGATACAACATTCTTCTTCCACAGAGACTTCCAAAAGCACAGAAGAAAATCTTGAGTCCTTAATAGAGGTTAGAAAATATAGAATAAAACCCAGGGGGGCGTGGGGGGGGGTGGAGAGATGGTTCAGCAATTAACAGTCTCGTCTGTCCTCCATGGGCATTGCACGACACAGGTGCACTTACCTATATGCAGGCAATACACACATACACAAAAATAATAAATAAATATTAAAAAAAAAAAAACAAGGGTGGGATGGCATATACCAGTTGTCCTGGCACTCAGGAGGCAGAGGCAAGCGGATCTCTGTGAGATCAAGGTTAGCTTGGTCTATATAGTGAGTTCCAGGCCAGCTGGAGCTACAGGGAGACCCTGCCTCAAAAAGACAAAAAAAAATTTACATGTCTTTCTTTCCTTCCTTTTTCTCTTCTCTTCTTTCCTCCCTCTCTTCCTTCCTTTATTTTTCAGTGCCAAGAATCAAGCCCAGGGTTTCACAGTTGCTACCCTAGAGTACCTTTTAAAGAATACACCCTTATATGGTATAAAACTATCCAACAGATTACTTTAGCTTGGTAAAATCTCCCCAATCTTATAGGTCCTTCTGCTGTATAGTTCTACAATCTATAGAAATGTCTGTATAGATGAACTTGACCTAAATTCCCACTTTAAACACACAGGGAGCCAGCCTACTCAGGAGGGAGCTGGCCCACTCAGGAGACAGAGACAGGTAGATTTCTGTAAGAGCAAGGTTAGCTTGGTCTCCAGGCCAACTGTGGCTACTGGGAAACCCTGTCTCAAAAACGAACAAATACAGAAGGGTTGGGTAGGTGTGGTGGTCCATGCCTATAATCCCAGGACTCATGAGATAAAGACAGGAAGGTCTGGAGTTAGAGGCTAGCCTGAGCTACATGGTAAGACCCTGTCTCAAAAAATAAAACAAAAACAAAAAACAAAAACAGAAAAACAGGGACTGGAGAGATGGCTCAGCAGTAAAGAGCATTGGCTGCTCTTGCACTCTTGCAGAAGACCCAGGTTTGGTTCCCAGCACAAACATGGCAGCTAACAACCATCTAGAACTCCAGTTCCAGGAGATCCTCCACAGGCATTGCATGACACGGGTGTACTTACATACATGCAGGCAATATACTCATACACATAAAATAAAAATATTTTTAAAATAATAAACAGAGACAAAAACCCCAAGATCTGGGGATGTAACCCAAGCAGAGCATTTGCTTAGCACATACAAGACCCTGGGTTCAATCCTCAGCACTGAAAGGAGGGAGGAAGAAAGGCAGAGAGAAGAAAATGCTTGAGGATATAGCTCAGTGGTAGAGCATCTGCATCATGTGTGGAGACCCTGAGTTCAGTCCCTACACCCCATCAAACACACCTCCATAAGTATCCTCTCCTCAGGTGGGTCTCTTAACAATACTCACCAACAGAGGGGCTGTCTCCTAAAGGACCACTTGGCTGATTCTCATTCAGCCCTGTCAGGAGGCCAGTCTGCAGCGGCTTCTCAGAATCCTTCAGTAACTGAGAACATCCCACCTGTCCCACAGAAAGACAGTTAAGGTAGCCCAATTCCTTTCTGCCTCTCTACAGCCTTCCACAGCATTTCCCATCATGTCTCTGCATGGATGATCTCTGAGTTAAAGGCCAACTCTGGCTCAGAGGGGCTCCCTTTCAACATGGCAGTCAAGCTAATGCTTTTTCCAGGTTAGCCACTGAAGGACTAGGTTCCTACCCTGACTCTCTTCCTACCATGTCCTCTGCTCACAAAGTGCAAGGAATCCAAGAGGAGCCAAGATAACTGGGTTCTGATTTTGGCTCCACAACCCATACACTGCCATAATTTTCATTATAAAGCCACCTAGTTTACCTAACACTATAGTTTTTAAAAGTTTCCTTCTTTTCTTCTGTTCCCAATATTTTTACTTCCTGGTCCATATTACCCTCCCACCCCACTCCACCCCACCCCATTCCTTCCCCCCTTTATAACCAAACAGCACATCGGAACCATTCTCTCACAATGAAACAGTTCTGTGCCTTCTGTTTTGAGATGCATCTGAAAAAAAGAATCAGATCAAATCCCCACTTCCCACTTCCAAGTCCCACTCTGATCCTGCCCTCACCGGGAAAGGTTCTGCTCCTTCCTGGATAACAAAGCCTTCAATGATGTGCGTGAGAATCTGGGGCTTCACAATGGCCTGTGGGGGTTTTGAGTCACCCATCTGTCTGGACACCATGGCCAGCGTAGGAGTTGGTGCTGATGGTACAGAGGTCAAGGCTACTGGTTCACTGCTTGGAGTATTTGCATTCAAACTGGTCACTGGTTCAGCTTTCTCTGAAAAACAAATACAGATTAAGGAATTGATATGGTATGAAATCACTGACTCACTAGTACTGACCCAGCCTGATCTTCCACACTATGTTCACCTTTGATTCACCACAGACCCATGTTTTGAGTCAATTTATTCCTGTACCAAGTTCAGGCCCATTTCCTACTGAACTAGAGTTATCTTTTAGCTCCCTCAGAACATTTTTTTCTATTCTCTGGCATCAATTGTTTGAAGTCAGCTACTCACCTCCAAGACTGTTCTTCTCCTCCATTACCTTTGGGCTCTCTGCTGCTGGAGAGGCCTTGGCAGGAAGCATTGAGCCCAATGTGGAGACATCATTTCTCTCCTCCTCAGACTCTGCTTTGCGTTTCCCAGCCAAGGTCTGGGGTTTTCCCTGTATAGTGAAGAAGAGACAGTAGCCAAGATTTCAGTGTGAAAGATAAGGAACTGTACTCCACATTTTCAGAGAAAATTCTTAGTTCCAAACCCTCCAAAGTGTTTACTGCTTATGATGCACTAAACTTCTCCGACATCCCAATTGATATAACTTCTCTATTGGGACAATTTACTCCTGACTTAAGTAAGATCATAAGACTGTATTCATTATAGGACAACCAAGAACTGCTGTCTTTCCAAAGACTGATTTGGTTAAGACTCTCTTCATCTAATTAGCATATTTGCAAAAACCTAAGAGGATTTCAATAACAAATTTAGGAACATGAAGTTCAGATATGAACATTTATATTAACATCTCACTCCTTTAAAAAGAGCACATCCATCCCACCATTAACCTTTTCTATTCTTTATTCTCCCATTCAATTAAACTCTATTTCCACTCATTGGGAGTACACTCAGATGGGCAGTAATACCTTCAAAGTCATCTGACATCACTCACCGGCAGGTGCACAGACTGCATGTAGAAGGCAGCAGGGACCTGGGCTACAACAGGTGAGGAGGTGGTAACCCCACCCTTTACCACATGTGCTGTTCCCTGCACAGGAGCAAGAGTCATCCCAGGGGCCAATGTAGAAGGACACTCCTGCAGTGCACCAGGAGCCTGGGATGAAGGTGGTGAGGAGGCCAAATGGGCCTGGCCAGGCTGTACTGCACCTGGCATCCCCCGAGAAGCAGGTACAGCAGCTGCCAGCTGTGCCAATCCCAAAGCCTGTGCCTGTGCTGTACCTGGCTGCCGGGTACCCACAACTTGCACAGGGATATGAGGTGGTGGTTGTTGGGTAGCTGACATCTTAGCAGCCCCTAATTGAGGAGGCTTAATAGGTGCTACAGGTGGTTTGGACTGGATGGGGATAGGCGGCTTGGGAGCTGGGTCAGGTGGAAGAGACAGGGGTGAAGACTGAAGCATGGGCTGAACCACCAGGGTCTGGGCTTGCTGCTGAGACTGCGAAGGTGGGACCTGCTGAGTAGGTGGGACCTGCGGGGGCTGAGGGGCAGTGAGGGCTGTTGCTTGCTGCTGCTGCTGCTGCTGCTGCTGCTGCTGCTGCTGCTGCTGCTGTTGCTGCTGCTGCTGCTGCTGCTGCTGCTGCTGCTGTTGCTGCTGCTGCGCCAACTGGAGGTGTGTAGCTGTGTGAAGCAACTGGGACTGCCGGTGCTGGAACTGCTGCTGGTGGTGGATGGCAATCTGCTGCTGGATCACCACCTGTTTCTGCTGGAGGTGGATCTGCTGCTGTTGCTGAATCAGTGAATGGGGCTGGATCTGTGTGTATGTGGCTATTTGGAAGAAGCCCAGAATGGAACAAAGGGGGAAAATGAGCAAAAAATAATCCTTCTACATTAAAAACAAAATCATTTTTCCAAGATATACTCAACATTGGGATCCATGAATGGAAATCTAGCCTGAACTTGAACATTACTTTATTCAGTCTTTTCACTGAGTCAGACATTATTGACTATGACCTCAGAGAACTACCCACTAAGACTGATGACATGGGCCTGAGACCCCAGAGACCCAGGAGACTAAGATAGGAATGCACTAAGACAAATTCAAGGCCTGAGCCACTATAAAGTTAAAAGAAGAACTAGGGCTGGGGATGTAGCTCAGAGATAGAACACTTGCCTAGCTTGTTCAGGGTCCTAGATTCAAACCCCAGTATCACCAAAAAAAAAGAAAGAAAAGGAATGGAAGGAGAGAGAAGGGAACGAGGAAGGGAAGGTGGAGGAAGAAGGGTGGCCCCATGCTTAATAGCAATCTTCTGCCATTTCTGCTATACTTAAACAACCCATCCTTTTATTTCATACATGTTTTATTCATTTGGCATCACTAGAACCCATTTCAGTGTTGGACACATAAGAAGCACTTAATAGTCACTGAAAGAATAAATACCCACAGTTAAAGATATCAACATTCTCTATGAATACCTCATTACCTCGGTTTTTAAAGTTGAGTTTGTCACCATCTAAAGTCTTTTTAAAATATTTTATTATTTTTATTCTATGTGTATGAATGTATTGCCTACATGTATGTAAGTGCACCAGTGTCGTACAATGCCGGCAGAGTTCAGAAGAGGGCATTGGATCCCCTGGAATTGGAGTTACGGGCAATCGTTAGCCTCCATGTGGATCATGGGAATCGAACCCAGGTCCTCTGCAAAAGCAGCCTCTTAACTACTGAGTCATCTCTCCAGTCCCCACCATCTAAAGTCTTAAGGGAACAGCTCTGACTACTCAGTTTCCCCTCCACTGCAAACTGGAGTTGACAGTCTGTATTACCAGACCATCCAGAGAACACACAAAGCATGTGATACAAAAGCACTTTGAAAACAGAGGTACTATGGTATTTAAATATCTAATATTAGTAACAGATAATTTTTTGTGTGTGTCTTTTTGAGACAGGGTCTCGCTGTAGCCCCAGATGACCTGAACTCACTATGTAGACCAAGCTGGCCTTCAACTCACAGAGATCCACCTGTTTTGTGAGTGCTGGGATTAAAAGCGCGTGCTACCACGCCCGGCATGTAACCAATCATTTTTGTGACTAAATTATTCAAATATCAATGATTATGGTGATATAAACAAAGACAAAGACCAACATTACCAAATAAAGTATACATATTCAGCTACATTTTACCCACTCTGAAAACAAGTATAAATTAGGGTTATTGTTATTCATTTGTGTTTACCCTTATCACCAATAAAAATGATTGCAAGGCCAGGCATGGTGGCACACATCTTTAATCTGAGCAGCTGAGAGGAGGATCTCTGTAAGTTCAAAGCTAGCCTGGTCTACATAGTGAGTTCCAGGCCAGTTGGGGCTACAGGGAGACCCTATCTAAAAAAAAAAAAAAAAAAAAAAAAGCCGAGCATGGTGGCGCATGCCTTTAATCCTAGCACTCAGGAGGCAAGGGGATCTCTGTGAGTTCAAGGCCAGCCTGGACTACATATTGAGTTCCAGGCCAGCCAGGGCTACAGGGAAACCCTGTCTCCAAAAAAAAAAAGCACCCTATGATATCATGTAGGTTCCTTAGCAACCCTTCAAGGTATGACCTCAGACGCAACCAAAAAAACAAAAAACAAATAATCACAAATTGATGTACTAAGCCACAGCCCCACTTGCTGGTGCTCTGAGGTCTTTACACTACACCTGCTCTAACCACCACTGAACAGAGATAAGAATTCATCCTTTATGCTAAACTGTACCTTAACATGAGCACAGGTAATCTGCTTTTCAAATATATTTATATTCCCAGCACATTCAGCAATTCAACAAAAATTGAGTGAACAGAGTAAACTCAAGAACTCAGGGTCCTAAGACAGGAGACAAGGTCTTTTACAAGCAGACTGCATCTTGGGGGAAACTGACAAGATTTTCATCTGTTAATTTGCCTCTGTCTCTGAGCTAGCAAGTTCAAGTGTGGCAAGATTCTCTTCCCTTCCACCACTCCATGACCAGGAGGGAAAAAAAAAGTGGGAGGGGGGGTGCAAAGAAAAGTGCTCCAAATATTTCAAATGAGATTCGGGAATTATGAAAGGTGACACTTTACCTGAACTGATAAGAGTCTGGCTCGGGGCAGGGGTGGCTGTCCGCGTCAGGTTCATGCCCACGTTCTGCTGGCCACTTCCATCTGTTTCTGCCTTCTTGGCCGCTGCACTTTCTGCCTCTGTCTGGCTGCCCTGGCTCACAGTCACTGTTTGGGCTGCAGGTAAGGGCTGTACCACTCCAGTGCCCTTCCTGGAACAGTTTCCACCGCCCATTCCTGAGGAAGGCAACTGACCTAAACCCCCAGGTGCTTGGCCACCTCCACCTGGACCCATGGACCCTGGGAGGCTGTTCCCATTGCCTCCTCCAGCTTGACTAAGGTTGAGTGACTGGCCTGAGGCCCCAGAAGCTTGTGCCACAGCTAAGGCCTGGTTAGAGGCCTGGGAGAGGCCAGAAACAGGAGATGCTCCAGGAGGAATGGCCTTCTGAGTGGAGCCAGGCATTTGGGGTCCTTGAGCTGAGGCCTGTTGATTCCTCACAGCCAAGTTCTGCACCTGGAAGATACAATATATATAATGTGTGTGTGTGTGTGTGTGTGTGTGTAGATTTCTATGACTGATTCAAGAGCAGCAAAGATAGTTATGGTATAATACTCTACAGTCCACTCAACTTGTACCTAGATGTCTAAGTCCTTCCGGTCTGCCAGAGAAACCTTTGTAAACATCTCTAACTTTTCAGTCTGTCATGCACTATCAAGTCCATCATGAAGTTTCAGTATTATTCCTTCAAAATATGTTTTTGGCTTTCTATGTCTTCATTTCTTCGTTCTTTCAATATCTACCAAATGCCTACTACACTTCAGGTGCTATACTGCACACTGGAAATGAAGGGTGGTATGCTACTTTCTATATAAGAAAATCAAAGTATAATACAGTAATAACATAAAGTTCTACGAGAGTAAAGAAAAGGAAAATCAATTCAGACTGCAGAGACCAAAGACTTCCTAAGGCAGGTGATGTCTATTCTGAGGCTCAAGAGAGTAACACTGAAGACAGGGCCAAATAACCAAGAAATAACGCATCATTTTCTTAAAGAATAAGTATTCCATTATGTTCAGGGAGTTAGGAGGAGTAGAAAAATATGAAGCAAGAAAGGTGGTACTGCCAGGTATGGTAGTGCATGCCTTTGATCCCAGCATTCAGGAGACAATCTCTGTGAGTTTGAAGCCAGCCTGGTCTATATAGACAGCTCCAGGTAAGTCAAGGCTCCATAGAGAGAAGAAGGAAAGAGGAAAGGAAAAGAGGGAAGGGGGAGGGGGAGAAGAAGGGATAGAGGGAGGGATGGAGGGAGGGGGGAGGGAAGCTCTACGTCTTTCCAGGTATGGAGGTATACACCCATGATACCAATACTTAGGAATTAAGGCAGGAGAATGACAAAAGTTCAAGGCCAGCGTAGACTACATGATATGAGAACATGTCTCAAAAAAGGAGGATGGTGTATGATGGCTTAACAAGTAAAGGTACCTGCTGTTAAGTCTACCTGAATTCAATCCCCAGGACCCATATGGTAGAAGGATAGAACTAAGTCCTGCAAGTTGTCCTCTGACCTCCACATGCCCACCATGGACCTACATAACCCCCACCCCATCATGCACACAAAATGGGCAAAAATGTAATTTCCAAAAAAAATTTTTTGCTGGGCATGGAAGCACATCCCTTTAATCCCAGCACTTGGGAGGCAGAGGCAGGAGGATCTCTGTGACTTGCAGGCCAGCCTGGTCTACATAGTGAGTTCCAAGTCAGCTGGGGCTACAGGGAGACCCTATCTCAAAAAGACCTCCCCCAAAAAAACAATTTTTTTTAAACTGCGTATAGTGGTGCACACCTTTAGCCCCAGCACTCAGAAGGCAGAGCTCTGTGAGTCCAAGGCCAAACTCATCTACATACTGAGCCCATGTCTCAAAAAAAAAAAAAAATGTGGTTAAGGCTGAGCTACATCACAGATGGACCTTGACAGCATGCTATGAAGACTATTCCAAGGCCAGGTGCAGAGGCAGGCTCCTGATGTCCTTGCTACTACTGAAGCTTAGGGAAAAGAGGCCCAGGATTGCAGACCAGTCTGGACAACAGAGGACAACTGTCTCAAAAAAACAAACAAAAAAAAAAATGCATTTTCAAAAAGACTACATACAACTTAAGTTCCTTATAAATTTAAATACAAATAAAATATATGTAATATACAATACACACTGTAACACTTGTATACTGTTATATAGTATTTTATATATTATGCACATGTATACATACAAACACATGGCTTCTAGATTCAACTTCAAATTAATACATGGTCATAAAAGCCTGAACGACCTGGCCATGTACTAATCACTGTTGGAAGCGCAATGATTAGTAATGTCCAGGGATTCACTTTTTTTCCTATTTGTGAATTTACTTGAATTTTCTGTGAAAATTAGTTTTTAAAGTAAGCTACAGAAATAATAGAGATGCAATAAAGCTACATTAAAAGAAGTCAAAGGAGGAATGAAATTAGAAATCAGAATAAATAATTGCTACCATGGATAAGGGCATACTAGACAGAAGTGAGAAATTGCTAATTGCATTGTGCTGCTGGTTTGCAGTACTAGGATTCAACCCAGGGCATCACATACTAGGCAAGCACTCCATCACTGAGCTACCCTCCCAGCTTGCTTATTACCTCTACTCAAGTAACTAAATAAATAAAAGCAGGCCATGAATAGACCAATGATGAGACAACAAAATACCTTCTTGTTTCTGTGTGTGTGCAAGTGTTCATGTGTACGCAGGTGTGGGTGCATGTGCACATGCATAGGTAGGTCAGAAGAGACCTATGTGTCATTCCTCAGGTGCTGCCTGTTTTTGAGACAAGGTTTTTCACTGGTCTGGAATTTACCTAGTATGTAGCTAACTGGCCAAGGAACCTCAGAGATGCATCTCTCTCTGCCTCAGTCACACTGGGATTAGAACTGAGCACCACCATGACTACCAGGCTTTCACGTACGTTCTGAGTAGGAACTCGGATCCTTGTGCTTGCAGGACAAGCACTTCACCTGAGCTATCCCCAAAACCTCTTTTATTTTTTAATATTTATTATTTTATTTTATGTGCATGTGTGTATTGCCTGCATGTATGTGAGTGCACCCATGTCATGCATGCCCACGGAGGACAGAAGAGACTCTCGGATCCCCTGGAACTGGAGTCAGGGGTAGTTGTTAGCTGCCATGTGGGTGCTGGGATTCGAACCTGGGTCTTCTGCAAGAACAGTCAGTGTTCTTAACCACTGAGCCATCTCTCCAGCTTCCACCTCTTTTCTTTTTAAAGTCATCTTGATAGTAATATGGAAAAGGATTATAAGCAGTTAAGACTAAAGTCAAGAAGATCATTTAGAAAAGCAGTACAGCACAGCCAGGTGAAAATAAGAATCCAAATTCAGGAAAGAACAGTAAAGAAGGTCTTGTTTGCAGAGCTCTTTGGAATTCTCATCAGGAGTAAGTGCTCGATCAGTTACACAGCTTCCTGACACAGCTATTTCAAACCATTCTGCTCTGTCTCAAAGCCGCCTTCTCTTCTCCTCACTCTTCAGCACCACACAAATTCAGTTCTGCTACTGCATCGACCCACTTGCCTGCACATGGCACCATCACTCCCTCTTGTCTCCCTCTTCTTCCTCCTGATATGGCAATCCTCTGCTCTGGATCCTCCCCCTCCTCCAGCCTTTCCAGGAAGCTTATCATATCAACTGTTTCCTCTCTGGTGCTAGCATCCTCTCCCATCACTACTTCTGAATGCTTTATTCCCCTTCCCCACCTTTGCCTCTCCATCTCTCCTCTTCGCCAAACTATCAAGCATTCACTGTACTCAGTCCCACTCTTCACTCATTCCTCAACTCAATACTACTTTGACTGCATCCCCCTCTAAGTCCTCTGAAGCAGCTCTCCCTCTACATGAACAAATCCATCCTTTCTACTACACTGGAAAGAAATGAATAGTGGCCCCATCCACCTATACCACACCCAGATCCATATTCATGCCAGTATTGGAACAGCTGGCTCCTGTGTCTTCATGATACTATAGTCTAGATGTCTAGATCCACCCCCACCATCTTTCCTGTTCTTTCCTGCTTCCCTCTGTCAGCCCATCACCCTTAACTCACCTTAGAACTGCTTTTCTAAGGACTCATTCTAACCCTCAAGGTTCTATATTAAATGTGTTCTTCACTTCCCTAAACAATTTTAAACATTCCCTTGACTTCAACAGACATATCATCTATATGTTCACTATTTTCATATATTTATCTCCAACCTAGCTCTCCTGAGCTCAAGAATCATACATATGGAACTGCTGCTTCAGTAACTTATTCATGTCTCAAAAGCACCTCTAATTTGACACATCCAAAACCAAACTCCAACCTAATTCTACTTCTCCAGTGTTCATCTCATAAATGGCACCAACAGCTCTATGGCGCTCACTAAGACCTCACACCTGGCATCTCCCTCAATTCCTCGTACTGTGAATCAGCTCACCTTCAGTGATTCTGGTACGTTTTTCTCAAGTCTATGCATTCCTGTGCCTCTTCATTGCTACCCATTAAACACCATCTTTCTCTAAACTACTATTCTCCCTATTAGGACTGTTCTAGCTTTTTTTCAACTGCTGTGACAAAACACTGTGACCACTACCAACTCAGGGACGAAAGGGTTTATTTGACTTACATCTCCTGGGTCACAGTTCATCACTGAGGGAGCCCAAGGGAGGAACTCAGGACAGGAACCTGGAGGCAGGAGCTGGAGCACAGGCCATGAAGGAACGCTGCTCACTGGCTTGCTCCCCTGGCCTATGCTCAGCCTGCTTTCTTATACAACACAGGACCACCTGATCGCCCACAGTAGGCTAGGCTCTCCACATCACTCAACAATCAAGAAAATGCCCCCATAGACATGGCTACAGGCCAGTCCAATAGAGGCAATTCCCCAACTGAGACTCCCTCTACCCAGGTGTCAAGTTGTCAACTAAAGCTGTCCAGCACACACTCTGAACACAGTCTCTAAATTGAACAAAATGAAACTCTCCCTGTCACTTTCATGTTTAAAGTCTTTCTATAGCTTCTCATTAGCCTTGAAATAAAGCCTAAAACCCTAAACACAGTCCCAAAGGCTCTGCAAGGTACGGTTCCTCCCACTTGTTCTAGCCCCTTTTAGCAAACTCCAGGAAAACAACCCTTCTTGTAATTTCTGAAGCAAGTCAATATTCTTCTCAAGACCTTTAACATCACATTCTCCAGGCATTCAACACTCCCATAAACCCATACCTGGCTAACTTCTACAGACCCCAATTTAAATGTCACTGCCTTGATTTTTAACCCATCCCAAGGCTAAATTAAGTTCCTTTTATTTTCAAAATGCCTTATTCTTGCTAATGAAGCAACTATTATACCACTCAGGTAACTATATGTTTAACATCTAGTGTTTTAAGGTCCATGACTCCATAAATGTAGGGATCATAACTTTCTTGAACATCCAAGACTACAGAATGTCTTATTGTGTTACTAGTAGTTAATAGTCTTAAACATTATGTCCAAGTACAGTGTAAGCATGTACACATTACCAACTCAATCCTCAAAACACACCATAAGATAGGTAAATTATATGTATTTTTAGATGAAGAAACCACAGCATCAAGATGTAAAATCACTTCCCCAATGTCACACAGTTAAATGTAAAGCTGGAATCTAACCCAAGCACCAAACGTACATTTCTAGTCACTACCCTCACTATTGGCTGAGGAAAAGGATAATGAAGAACTGATATGGAAGCACAACCAATCCTTGTCTTCATCTGCTCTGACAGTCTAAAACAAACGGCTTCGTTTGTTTTGTTTTAATTAATTTTTACTTTATGTGTATGAGTGTATTGCCTACATGTGTTTAAGTCCACCCGTGTCATGCAGTGCCCACAGAGGTCAGAAGGCGGCATCGGATTCCCCAGAACTGGAGTTACAGATGGTTGTTAGCTGCCATGTGGGTGCTAGGAATGGAACACATGTCCTCTGTAAGAGCAGTCTGTGCTCTTAACCGCTGAGCTCTCTCTCCAGCCCAGAGCTTTTTTTTTTTTTTTTATCTTTTATAACTAATGACCCCAAGAGTCTTTGAGCAACGCCCCTCTCCGCGCACATGCTCCTAGACGATTCTTTCTAAAGTAGTCTTCTTATTCTGTCCGTCTGCTGTTCAACAGCCAACAATGGCCTCTGCTACTCATGAAGTGAACTAGAGCCTCTGTTTCTTGGCTTTTAGTTTCCTACCTAATAATGGCCTCTTCTACCACTAAGTCTATTGTCTCCTTTGTTCCGTTTTTTTTACAATACTAGAGATTCAAACCACAGCCTTGTGCACAACACAAGCACCACCATGTCACAGCTACGCTGCCAGCCCTGCGGTCTGCACGATATCCACCCGCATCCCCAACCCTACCACAGGCTCTTATGTAAATGAGCTATGCCCTTATATGTGCAGCTCTTTTTCCCGTTTTCTCCTCATTCCAAATCACCTCATCCTTTAAGATTCTGCTAAAGTGTTCTGCAAAGTAATATAATCAGTTCTCGAAACTCACATGTCACTCAAGGTTAGCACCATTTTGAATAACACTGCTGCTGTCCCCACTAAGCTCTTTGAAGATTCGACTCATATTTCTTTTTACTCCTCCAAAGTTCCAAGTACATAATTGAAGCCAGTATATTTATTTGCTTTTTGATAGACTAGAAGAACGGAATAATATTAAAGATCCTAGCTTACATCTCATTTACAAGCTAAAAATTTATATGTGTGTTTTGGGGAAAAGTCACAAAAAGCAATGGTCAGAAAGACTCTACTGAGAAAGAGTGAAGAGGAACAGAAGACTGAAAGTTGAGAACTACAGAGTCACGAACAGAAGGAATGGAACATTCCGCCAGCCACTCAGCCAGGCCTATTCCAACCGAACTATTGACAGACTTCCTTCCAACACTCCTGTCTTCAGGTGGCACTCCTATGGGGGAATTAAGACCCAGAGAACTAAGAAGATGACAGGGAAAATCATCCTGTAATGTAAGTAAGAGTTCCAGATCCACAGATCTTTTTAAGCCCTTCTACTTATTTATTTATTTATTTATTTATTTATTTATTTATTTATTCATTTATTTATTTTTGGCTCAAACCCACTCAAAAGTTGTAGGATATATAGAGGTTAAGGAAAGGGAAACCAAAACACACACCAAGTAAGAATTCTGAAAAGCACTAAGGGGCAGAGGGTGGGGCCTGGCCTACAGTTGGTCCCTTCACGCTCCGGGGCTTCTCCACAGTAAGTGGTTGCCACTGACCTGATCTGCATCTGCATGAACTCCAGGAGACTGAGCGGGCGGCACCTCCTGCTGGACTGCAGCCACTGCCCCATTAGGCATCAGGATGAGTTGGGAGGCTAGAGGCACATTCCGGCCCAAGGTCCGGTTAACCTGCAACAGGTTTCCCAGCTGTGGCTGGCAAGGAAAGGAAGAAAAGCAAAAAGTAGAAAAGAGGACAGAAGAAATGGAAGGAAAGGACCACAAGACAAAATGAACAGCAGATATTAAACTATTAAGCCTGCCCCTTTCCATACCAACCCATGAATCTCTTAATTCTCCTTCTGTGATGAGTCATCCAGAAGAAAACCTAGATTGTATAGAAAACTATGGAATGATAACAAAGAGTCAAACACCAAAGAGGTTTAGACAACAAGGATTTTAGAACAAATAGTTCTATATAGAGGTAGATAAGCTGAGAGATAACACTTAGAATTTGTGTACCTGAGTGATAAATTTAAAGGTTAGACTATATCTAATACTAATTTAGTCAAGCGTCAAGGCCACATCTTCCAGCAGGGGATCTCAGTGTTATCTGGAAGCATCCTTTCTACTCTAAGTAAGGCATGGGAAGTGGATCAGCTCATCTTAAAACATGTGGATGACCAGAATTAAATAAAACAGCTTTCGAGCTTGGGGTACCACCCAGTAGAGCACTTGCCTAGTATGCATGAGGCCCCAGGTTCCCTCCTTAGTACCACAAAAGAACAAACAATACAGCTTTCATTCCTCATCAAGAAAAGCAAATTATGAACTATGCGCCTGGAGCAGTGGTAGCTTGTCTGTGACTTACCCGCAGGTACATCTGGGCCTGGGATTGGTTGAGGGGTGGGGAAGTGGTGTTGCCCAGTAGCACAGACTGGGTCAAGGTGGTGGCACTGGGAGAGCTCACACTCTGGGATCTGCTGATGAGCTGGGCAGCTGAGGTGGTAGCCAGATTGATCTGTATGGTAAAAAAGGAAGCAGGACTGAGGATTTGGGGAGAAATAAAATATACACAACTGACAAGTTCAGAGTGGCACAGTCAAGAACAGAATATGTCACTTTCATGGAGTTGGGGGAAATTAATAGTAACTTGCTATCCAAAACTGTCACCCTAGCTACTTTGGAGTATTATCACTGAAAAGGTCCCCAATCACTAATGTCAATACTTGAGAAAGTAAAAGAACGAAATGACACAGATTTTCTTTTAGAAGAGACCTTTCCTTTGTCATCTCCTCTTCCCCAGGATTTTCTTCTTCCTTCTTCAGGCTTTTCCACCTAAAGAGTCTACTACAAGCTGTGCATGGTGGTGCACGACTGTAATCCCAGCACTCAGGAGACAGAGGCAGGAGGATCAATGCAAGCTCAAGGCCAGCCTGGACTACACAGTGAATACTAGGCCAATCAGAGTTAGACAGGGAAACCTCATCTCAAAACAAGACTACAGCTGCAAATTGTTACCTGCTCTGCTATCACTCGTCTCTACATAAGAGTAGTGATGATACTGAGGACTCCGTAAGCATTTTCAGGTCAGCAACAGGGACAAGGACCCTGAGAGACCCTCCCCTCAGGGAGACAGTACTCACCGAGGCCTGGGTGGTGCTGGTCTGCTGTTGTGCAGTGCTGGTGTTTGGGGAGCTGGCCTGCCGACTGGCAGCAATTGTAGCCTGTTGAAGGGAAATGTTAACAAGACAGTAAAAATTCTCAGTCTCTGTCTTCCGGTAATAAGTCACAGGCAAAAAACAGGGATTTCAGGTAAGATCAGAAACTATGTTGGAGTAAGAAAAAATGTATTCCTATCTCAGTGACCACGTAAACTGAGCCAGTGACATTGGGGAAGACAGGCAACCTGTTCTCTCCATCTCCCACTTTTTATGAGGCAGAACTCCATTTTCAGGTCACATCATGAGTTACTGATAAATCTAATGCAGAGCTGTCCAATAAAACATAAAAAAAGCCATGTTTGTGACTTCCTACTATGCATATTTAAAAGTAACAAGCAGCAGGAAGATGGTAACTTCAATAATTCAATCACTGCAACATATGGAAAGCCAATCATATAGTGGGGAGACAGGATGGGACAGGACCTAGAGTTTCACACCTGCAAGGCACATGCTTTACCTCAGAGCTCAGCCTCTAGCTCTAAATGTCATCACCCCAAAATGAGATTAATAAATTATTGAGATAGTTTACCTTTTTCTGGTCAATAGGAATGTTCTAAAGTCTTATAGCATATCTCAATTTGAACTAGCCAGAGTTCAAGTACTCAGTAACAACACATGGCTAGTGGCTAGCACACGGATGGAACAGGTCTACCACAGCCATTCCAGTCTAAAGAGTCTCCCACAGTTCACACTGCAACCCTGGAATCTAAGAGCCATCCTTTCTCCCATAAGAGGGCAGGAGACAGTTTGCCCCAAACTTTTCCCCTACCCTAAACCTGCAGGGCCTGACCCCTCCCTCCTGGATCAACTGGCTGCTGACCTCTCACCTGTTGAACAGCAGCCAGGCTGTGCAGCTGGGCATTACTGAGCTGCTGCTGGAGCATGAACTGGTGGAAATACTGAGCTGCATTGGGCTGCCGCTGCAGCGCTTGCAGAGCCTAGAAGACAGGATTTAACATTCAGAACAATCATTCCGAATGCCTATGTGACTCTCCATAGCTGTCAGATAGGGAGTCAGGAAGGCGATACCCCCAAATCATCAACATCTGACTTGTCTGTGACTATACAAGATGCTTAGCCGAGCTAGTCACCTAAAACTAGAGAAGCAATTAATTATATGGTCTATCCTCACATATTAAGCAAACCAGGTACACAGGAACTCTTACTTCCCCAAAAGACCTGGAAATAGACAGTAAGATCAAGCAAGATACGCTGCAAAAAAAAAAAAAAAAGGGATACTGATTAATACAAAGAAAAAATGTTGAACATGGTGATACATGCCTGTAATACCAGTCAGCACTCAGAAAACTAAGGCAGAAGATGGTAAGCTTGAGGCCAACCTGGGCTACAGAGTAAAAGCATGTCTCAAATAAATAAATAGCTAATAATAAAAGGAAAGAACAAAAACAAAGACTAGATATTCTAGATACATAGCATAGAGGGACAGAGCCCTAAAATTTAGAGATACATGGGAAAACAGTGAAGAGTGGCTTCTAAAATGGTCCATCAAACAGTAAAGAGTGGCTCCTGAAATGGTCCATCCAGTAAAATTTTCAACTAATTGACATTTCAAATACCTGTAGTATAATGTTCATGGATTATTTGTAAAAATGACAGTGATAGTTTTAGTGTTAACTGGATTCTGCAATAGTCTTACCCTTTACTAATTACAACAGCTCTTTTGATAAGCAGTTATTCTTTTTTTTTTTTTTTTGGTCTTTTTTGAGCAGGGTCTCCCTGTAGCCCCAGATGTCCTGAGTGCTGGGATTAAAGGTGTGCGCCACCACGCCCGGCTTATATACATATTTTTATATAGCTGTCCTCCTCCCACTAATTTGCTCCTCAGTTGCGCTCCACCTTTATGTAAGTGGGAGAAGAGTCAAGAAATGACAGCACTGGGCATGGTAGCTGAGACCTGTAGTATGTAGACCAGGCTGGCCTTGAACTCACAGAGATCTGCCTGCCTCTGCCTCCCGAGAGCTAGGATTAAAGGTGTGCATCACCACACCCGGCTTGATAAGCAGTTATTCTACATAACCAAAATCTTTTTTTAAGTAAAATGTTTAGTTTCCAATCAATATTTGAAACAAGGCATTTGCCCTTTGTCCAAAAGTTAACTTCTAAAGAAGTCTCCAGGATTTCTATTATGATGATTTTATAAGAAAGGTCAAAAATTAAAAACTTGACAGGTAGAGTCAGGAAAATAGCTCAGTGTCTAAAAGTGCTGCAAGTGCAAGTCTGAGGACCTGACTTCGACCCTCTGAGCCAACTTTAAAAAAATAAGAGGGGGCCAGATGTGGTGGTATGCATCTGTAATTCCAACACTCTTCAGTTTGTTTTTGGTGGGTTTTTGTTTTAGTTTTGAGACAGGGTCTCACTCTACAGACAGGTTGGCCTCAAACTCAGAGATCTGCCTGCCTCTGCCTCCTGAAAAATCCCAGCAGTCTTAAAGTAAGGTGGAGATGCAGACCAGAGAATCAGCTCAAGGGCCAGCCAGCCTTATGTACACTGCACAGCAGAAAGAAGAGAGTCCCTGCCTCAGCAAGGAGGGGCAAGAAACTGACTCCCAAAAGTTGTCCTCTGACATCCACATGCCTGCACTCCCACACATACAGCTTTCTTTAATTGACAAAGAAGACTAATAGGCAATTTGAATAGAGTTCGACTTATTTATTCATTTATTTACATACAGCATTGGACGCTGAAGCATCTTACCACATTCTCCAGCTCTATCTTTTCTTATTTTCATTTTGATACAGGTTCTCACTAAGTTGCCCAAGCTAGCCCTGAACTTGCTATGTAGCCAAAACCAAAACAAAATGACAAAATTTCACTGTTTCCTTGCTCAAATTTTGTAAATTGGCTCTAATTTTGTAAATTGCTAAGACCCAGAGGTAAAAGGAAGCTCATCCATCACCTACTCCAACTCTCAACTACAAGAATGAATCTGAGGACGACTACCTTCCAGGACCTCTGCCTACCCCAAACCAATACTCACAGGTCATGGTCCCTGGGCTGAGCCTTACCTGCACTGCTTGCCGTTCATACAGGGACATTTGAGCTATCTGGGGCCGAGAGCTGCCCCCTGAGCTGGAACTCCCATTGGCGGAGCTAGAGTTCTGCTCGCTCTCAGTCTCCATGATAGCGTTCCAGGGTCCCCAAGAATGGTGCTCTGACTCAAGACCTAGATGGGAATCAGTGAAAGATTAAAGTTATACTTTGAATCTAAAATGTTAGCTCATGTTCTTATTCAAAACCACAACAAGTCCACAAAGTACCTAGAATGTTCCTCTGATAATTTTTTTTTTAGTCTTTTTGAGACAGGGTCTCCCTATAGCCCCAGTTGGCCTGGAACGCGCTATGTAGACCAGGCTGGCCTCAAACTCAGAGATCCACCTGCCTCTCTGCCTCCCAAGTGCTGCGATTAAAGGTGTGTGCCACCACACCCAACTCTCCTCTGAGATCTTCCTATCTTCCTCACTCCACCATCTTTTCAAGCTACTCACTTTGTCAAAAGAAGCAGCTTTTACCTACTCCCTCATGGCTACTGTTAAATAAAAGGACCAGAATGCAACAAGGCACCTAGCAATACCAAATTCACCTTACATCCCCAGCACTTTTCAACAATTTTAAACTGCCTCATCTAGAAGTTGCTGTTCCATATACCACTCTCATCTTAACAATGGTCCTCATTCTCTGTGAAGCCACCAGCTGCCTCCTTTCCCTGGCCTCAATCCTTCATCTGTACTATTTCTCATAGTGCTGTATGGTAAATACTGTGGAAATGAAGATTTTCTGAGTTATCAAGTCTTTAGTACCTTACTTCCTCAACACCCCCCCCAAACAACCAACCAAACAAAAACCCCCATGATTAAAGCAATGTCACTTCTGAGAATATTCATCATCCTCTTTTCAAGGAGGAGAACCCTGTGATATTGATACAATAAAAGGGTCACGAAAGGGAATAAACGGTGGAGGCAGAAAAGCTAGTCTACCATTCACATACCCCAAGTAGCTAGCTCGCTCCAGCCTAGGGTACTAATTAAAGTCTCAGGCATGTCACGCACTTCTCCTTATATAACCTCAGTTTCCCTATCTGCAGAGGTTTCAAAATGAATGTAATGTTTTTTTAACAATGACTCCCAGATATGTAACATTAAATAAATAACATGGTATCTCAGAAAAAGATCCAACTTTTTACTTTACTAAGGTGTAAAAATTTACCTTCTGGAAACTACATTCAAATTAGCAAAAAACACATATGCATCAAATAAACATGAGAAGCAAAAAGAAATTCTTCTTCTCTTTTGTTAAATTTATATAGTATATTCTTTACTTTTGAAGCAATGGGACATTAGAAGGATCAGGTCATCAAAGCACTACTTGGCTTAGGAGTGTAACTATCAAACCTGCATTTCTGCTAAGGGCATAAGGGCAGTCTACAGTTTCATTAAGTGAACGGCTTTATCTCAGGAATTGCACCCCAAACAAACAAACCCGTAAATTGGCCTTGAAAATAAAGTTGGGATTTCTCACAATTTCTTTCTTAGCGTCACCTGATCACATCATTATTCCCCCAAGAATTCTACCCATCTTGGGAATAGCAAATGTCACTTCAAACATGGCTATAACCCCAAAGGTACAGAAGATATCAACTTCAACTTCAGTCTACCTTTCTCCCCACATCTTTTGCCAAAATATCAAAGCACTAAACAGATACAGACCCATGAATCCTCAATATCAGCATGTGAAGAAAAAAAGTGGGTAAGAATTAGAGGCAACAAGGCATACTTGTATAGATTACTGGACTTATCTCACTAGACTGAGACATGAAAACCCGCTAACAGTTATAGAGGCTTGTGTAAAAAAATGTTCATAAATTCGAAGAGTCCTCATTTCCCCCAGATCGTGAAATAGGAACAGAAAGGGGCCAACTTAAAAGTCCATCAGCAAAAGGGGCCAACTTAAAAGTCCATCAGCAAAACTGTTATCAAAACCTCGCAGGCACATAGTGTACTCATGTTGTGAGTGCAAAATTAAATACTTAAAGTGAAGACAACGAACAGATCCGGAGGCAAACTGAATTAAAAATTAAAACACTGGAAGAGGGAGAGTGAAAAGCTGATCCGGTCATCCTAAAAGACACCATTTGGGTGTGTCTAAGTTCAAGATGCCATTTAGGTGTGTATGGGTTCAAGTGGGTGGGGGCACACCTATGGGGGAGGGGGTACTGGAAAGGAATATTGATGTAGACCTGGTACTTGGCCTATGGGGTCAAGACCTGGAGGAAGTCAATATCTCTGGATATAAAACTCTAGAAGCAGGGTTGGAAGGCTCGGGGAAGACTGCCAAAGAAATAGAAGTAAGACTCCCAGGGGTCTTGCGGTGATGAAAACACAGTTCCAAAGAGCAAAACCAAACACACCGGGAGCAGGGGGTGGACACAGTGGCGTGCCCAGAATGAGCAGGGAACATGTGCATTCTGAGAGCAGGGAGCCAGGCAGGAGGGGCACAGAGAAGTCAAGGCACTGGGAGACTGAGGAGCCCAGCGGTCCAGGAGAAGCGGGGAGAACACCAGACAGCATGCTCGGATGGAAGGACCAAAGCCAGAGAAGGGATGAAGGAGTAGAGCAGCAGCATCCGAGGTGAGGAGGGTGATGGACAGACAGCACCGAGCGCAGCGGACCCAAGCGAGTGCACCGGGCAGCGCCGGGAGGCAGGGGGGAGCTGGGGGAGGTACCTGGGCGTTGCACACACCGAGGTGGCGGAGGAAACATCCCCGCGCGGCCAAGCCCCCAGAGGCGCTGCCCCTCCCCGGCCCGCGGCCGCACGGTTACCTTCGCGCCCCGCTTCGCACCCGAGTCCTCGCGGGGGGCGTCCACCTCATGGGCAGGGCTTCCCCGGGCGCGGCCGGCCGGGGGGTCGCTCGGCCTGGGCCGCGGGCTGCCCTCGCCTCCTCCCCTTCCTGGAGGGGCGGGGGCCCCGGCGCGGTGGGAG